CTTATACGCGTCACTACGTTCCTCGACATCAATATTATATAGGAAATGAAACTATTTTTCCGGATTTAAATCGCGTATATTTGTTTTTTCACGGTCACGGTTGATTGCAGTCAATGGGACCTGTAAAGGGCCCGAAACGTCGGTTTGTTTGAAAAAACAAATCCGGAAAAATAGTTTCATTTCCTATGTGTAACAATCGCGAAAACCTAAGAACTCGATATCAATATTATAATTACGATATAAATATTGATTGTGTTTCATTATTTTAATATATACTCGTAGACGAAGTATTGTATGGAATCATTACGAAATTAGTTCTTAAAATTGTTATTTATTACTTAGACCAACTTTCAAAACACTTAATTATGCAACGATTGCGTGAAATAAGTACTATTTTTTAAGCATTACAATTTGATAAATAACGCGTCACGCTTATCTTCATGCCAAGGAATAGAGGTCGAGTTACACAATGTCATGGTAGAAGAATTTACTTATTTGCTATTATTGCTAACAGTGAATATTATTATCACTGTTTTTAACCGACTTCAAAAAGGTAGGAGTTCTCAATTCGACTGTATTTTTTGTGTAAATAACACATTTGTGAACCGATTTCGATGATTCTTTTCTATTGAAAAGGTACCAAAGTAGTGTCACATTCAAATTTGAAGAAGATTTTCTATCTCTAAGAGCGACAAATTCTGGGATGAATGCTGTTTATGGAAAGTTTGAAGACAGAAACATTTTTTTATAATAAAAGTTATGGGCGGAGCAAATGGTAAGCGACACGCCTATGCATAACAGTTGCAGTGCTACTCAGAGCTTTGGATCGCAAAGATCTTAGGGGCACTGCCGATGCGCCTGTCACCCTGAAATATAGGTTGACAAGTCCCATGCGCCTGTAATTTCACCAGCACCCACACCCTTTCTAAACGGAACACAGTAATGCCCACATTAAATAGGTAAAGTCAACGTAAAGGTGAGGTCGTTCTCAAGGAGCCCCACTCTACTGCTATAAAAAAATCAACTTGTTATGACTTATACAAAAGAAATTAATTGTTACAATTTTTTTTCACGGCCCTGCACTAGGGAAACTTTGTATCGCGAATGCCATGGAAACAAACATAAATTACAAACTCACGAGAGAAATAAATGTAGGAGACCTCTGCGTGGCAGTCATGGTGTAAAAATACATGCTAACAATAAAGATAATGAACTAAACTTTTCAGTAGGCTTAGCTTTCCATGCATCATGATGCGATTTAAGGAGACAAAATGGATTATGAACCAATACAATGTACCGACGGGTGCGCGAGTCAACTTCTATGTTCGGCATAGCTTCTTTCCTTTGTAAAGTAATCCGATAGGATTAAACTTGATACAAGATAAAATATCATCGGGTTTTGTAAACATTTTTTCGTATATATTTCTTATACACAACTCCAGTTGATGCTTCATTATAAGAGTTAAAAAATGTCTTAAGAGGCTTGTACCGAATTATGTGGAGCTTGGTACTTTATTCCCAGAAAAATGTAACCAAGCTCAAGTTTTTTAAGAGCAAGAAAATTAAAAAAAGAATATCGACCTGCGTTTTTTAAAATTGATTTAAATCAAAGGTGTGCTAGATATTTACTTTGAATTGAATGTGGAGAACTTTTAAGGGTTTTTAACAGTTAAAGAGGTGAAATTCCTTGAATTAAGGAACACATGCACAAAATCAGAGTAGCACAAAGGGCAATGACGCTTCATTATTTCATTCGGCATAGTCTGCTCACTATGCTCGGCATTTCCCTCGTCGATCGTATACCCAACGTAGAGATACGACAGCGAACAAAAGTCGTAGACGTCGGCGTGAGTTTCGTAAGCCTAAAATAAAGGTGGACAGGAAACGTTGCTAGGTGGGATGACGACCGATTGATCAAGGAGGTCACTAAGTGGTACCCGGTAGGAGCGAGATGTCCCCGAGGCAGACCACATGCTTGATGGTCGGACGATGTCGTCGGGGTGGCCGGAAGATTGTGGATGAGACTCGCACAGAACCGATTGAGCAAGCGTGCAAAAGAGGAGGCCCATACCCAGCAGTGGGTGTTAACGGGCTGAGGTAATGATGATGATGAAGGCGAAATGATGTAAATATAACAATATTTAAGTAAATTTTAACATCCTTACCACAATATAGTTTGTAAATTTTCGTGATTGTTATACATTGAAAACGACACCGAGTCAGCCGTGACCATGAGACTTGTAAAGAACTCTAAGCGTTGGTTTGTTTGAAAATAAATATGGTCAATTTAAATTCGAAACAATAGATTCACTTCTTGTGTGTAACTATCGCGAAAACCTAAACACTCTACCAAAAGCACTCACCTAAACACACAACAAAAATCAAAAAAAGTTTTGCTCATTTTGATAAATTCCAGCAATCATTTTACGAAAGCATCCACCTCAACTTCGTATTTCTGTAACCGTGAATTGCATCCTTTTTCAACAAGGATTTCTTATTTATTATAATTGACGTGTCAGTTATTGATTGATGAGCTTCAGTTAGTGTTATTCTATGTACCGTAAATTAACTAACAACCTACAAGAAGGATCTGCGCCTATCGTAAAGTTCATTCAAATCGATTATATGTCACTTTAAAGTGACTGTGGTAGTGCGTATATATATGTATGACTGGCATGGTAGCTAGATCCAAAGGTGATTTGATTGAAAAGCAGTAGAGATTCACTCACTAGGTGATACTGACCGCGCAGGACAATGCTGGCGACATAAATTCTTTATACTTAATAATTATATGTATAAGATCATTGTTAATAATACTTTGTTTTGTTCTGTGTATGTTTTTTTAAATTATTTCTGTTAAGAGTCTATACTACCTCAAATGGCTTTGTGGGATTCCGTAACAGTGAGTGTTGAATTTTGAAAAAAAGACTTTGGAGTAAATATGTAGTAAAATTGAGGATATATACTGATTAATTAGTACACTGTGCGAAAACATGCTTCCTAAAAATTTTCACGATAGAAAAGAAAACACAAACCTACCTCGACATTTTACAAAAAAACCACTGTATTCAATACGTAATTTGCATAAAATCTTTACTCAAGATCAATTTAGGGAAAGATGTTTTAAATTAATACTGATTTTATTTTCTGGTGTGTTTCTGGGGTTTATAATAATGTGAAATCGTGATTGTTGCAAAGGTTAACCAATTGTGAAAGTGGAATTTGCTTATCGAGTCTTTATAAACCAATTGACCCAATATGTGAAACTGTGTAAAAATATGAATCGGTCAAAATGTTATATTCAAGTAGATAAGTATACTTGCGTATGTTGTTTAGTGACCTCACTTAGGGCCCTAACTGAAAATTAGTGCTGCGAAGGCATTGCGTTTTCTAGCAAATACTGAGTTTGTGACCCTCTTGTTACCGCGGCTGGCACCACACAAGGTATCTCAATATTTAGTCTTCTTTTTATTATTTGTGTGAATAGTTCATGTTTTAATTTAACCAAATTTTTTAATATAGATATATGTATATATTTCGCTTTGTTTGTGTTTTTGTTGTTGTTTCGTAATTATTTATGCTTTACGTTGAATGTTTTCTTTTTATTCCGTTTTGTTCCGTTTTCTCTTTTTTTGTCTTTTGTCTTTTGTGGTGTCATTTTGGTAAACAAATAAATGTATTTTCTTTCTTTGTTTCTTTCTTAATAAATAATGATTTTGATTAACTCCTGAAGTGATATGGAAAAAAGGGTTGTTGGATCAAGGTCACGGTCCTTCAAAGACGAGAATACCCTTGAAGGTCGTGATAGCTATCAAAGTAAAGCACACGTGTCACGACGCCGATGGCAACGCAGTGGCAACGCTCGGCGTGCAGTCAGTGGCATCACGACACGGGCCTGGTGCACGCCCGACACACGACTCGGCGTGTTGCAGGGAGCGGTCTTTTGTCCCACTTTTATTAATTACTACACTTGTTATGTTGGTAATATCAGCAAAATTGACGCCTTTCCAATACCAAGACAGTTTTATTTGCAGAGATTGCAGTTAACACCGTACTTACTTCTGACCGTTAGTAAAAACCATTTTCTTATAATAAAAACGCGATGCTTGACAAGAGCAAGTTGCCTCTGTTGTCTGCCCTTAAGATGATAACACGTTGACTTTGCTAATATTACATAGCTAAAGCATTGGATGTTATTTTTCAAAGTCAAATGTATATTACTCTCGTATGACTACATAAACCTAATTAATTATCGTCTACATTTTCTGCATAATATTGTTTAGACAATTTTATACCCAATCATAAAATAAACATGTGCTATTTTAGTTTGTACTCATTCATCAGCTTTATTTGTATATTCTTAGCTTTTTCATCAAGAATTTTTAGCAGGTATTAAATCACGAGTCAATATTAATCACTTTCCATCACCGATGTACATATTTACTCGGCAACAGTGATCCATCGTACCTAAACTCCCACGCTTCTCCCTAACTCTTTTCTCCCCATATATGTAAGCATAGTTCACACTGTTAAATCCCCTATATAAGTCGAGTTCACACTGCCCCAGGATTGAAAGCGCGTTCTCTAATTGCGCCTTCGTTTCCCACCGTACGCCTGCCACGCGGCCTTTTGTACCACCCAAAATTAACATCGCAGACAAACCACACACTTACCTACAATGAAATAAACTTCATTTCTGTTTGTAAAAATGTAATATAAAGCTTGAATACGTTAATGTTTAATAGTGCATCAAAATTGCGTATAAAACTACATTATTTCAAACGCACAGCGCTTATAATTGCATGTCAAAGTTACGCGTTGTATTTTGGTGATTTAAAAATAGTACCACACTCCAATACATCGTGTATGGGTCTTATAGTGTAGTAATAGAGCGTAAAATACCCTTGTTTGAGTGTATGGTGATAATGGTGGTAGATAAAGGTCGTTTGGCTGGGGCGGGTGTCGTGCACACGGGGTGCACGCGGCGCGCACTCGGCGCCGGTCACCGGGCACGCGCGCACGTGTGCCTGCAGTGCACACCTATCTTTACGTCTTTGCAACTCGTGACCTTTCAAGAAAGTGTTCGTGTGCTCTCGACTTAATGAGTTAAGAAATTGAGTGTTCTGTTTTTTGTGTTCAATGACTGTTAACTTGGATAATTGGATAATTGTTATTGAAACTTTAAACTTCTGATATAACGTATATACAAGACTGATTATAAAGTGGTTAAAATTCATATTTAGTGTTTTACCACTAGACTATTAAGTTATAATGGAATACCATCACCGTCATATGGAGCAGACGGGTTCCCTGCATCAGCCTCAGCCATCTCAGTGGGGCTACGGTGGCTGGACACCCCCGGCACCAGCGCCGGCCCCACCTGCGCCCGCGCCGCGGAATAAAAGAACTCATTCTGAAAGTGAAGACGATGCTTTCTCGGAGGAGAGCAGTAAAGACGCACAGTAAGTTCAATATGAAAAGATTCAGCTTTCTTCGTAATTTTGTTAAGTTTTTCCAATATGATTCTAACTAGATTAAAATAATTATGAAATAAAGCTACGACAGCTACGATTTTCGTTAATTGACTACGAACGTAGCTTGCGCTACGATATTGCTATAAACTATAGTAATATCTCTTAGTTCACAATCTATTATACGCGTCACTGCTAAGCACAGGTCTTCCCTAAGGATATCCTCCGATACGGGAGTACTTTACCCGTTTTCCAAGAGATGTGTACCTTCTTGAAAATGCAGGTTTTATCTCGACGTTGAAATATTGCGTCTAATAATTAAAAAAATATACCTTGGAAATAAAATAATTGTCAATTAAGTAGGCACCGTTTTCCCAAATGGCTACCACTGCTTATCCATCTAAATCTACAACATAATAGCAATTATTTAATCAAAATAGAGGTAGGTAATTTTTTTTAAATTTTAATTTGAAACGTAATTTACAGTCAGTCCAAAATTACGTCATTACTTAATTTCACACAAAGTCAATAAAATGTATCCAACCAAATGACCTTAAGTGGGTAACCTATAACAAACTCGAATTTTTTTTCCGAAATAACGTTTGATCGAATTTTCATTACACCGAAAACCGAATTATAAGTAAACCGTTGTTCTTTTAGGATATGTTGGATGTTTATCGCCAAGACACGACTAGGTTCGGTTAGGTTAGGTTCAAAAGAAAAAACATTTTCCTCTCAAAATTACTTTCGAGGTTATGAAAACTCAAGCAAACGTTATTTCTGGAAAATGTCATTTCGGACTATTGACAGATAATCCTATACGTGTCATCGAGTACAAGATTAATTATGAGTACAGTGAGTTTGTTATTATTTTACAAAAACATTAACTTCATACTTCTTTCTACTAGAAAATATCTGTATTATCCTAGACAACTTTTTAAGTCATATTGGTTTTTCATAATTTCTATTCAAATAAGAAGAGGCCATAAAACAGCTCCCTGTAGAGGTACCTACTAATACAAAAACAGATGTAGCATACTCCCCCTGATGATGAATCCTGCCTACGTATAAGTGTAACTCAAAACTCTTTAAAACAAAATTGACGCCCCGTAATTCATGGACAATTTACATGAACAAATTGCCAAGTCTCGAACAACCAACCCTTCGCACAATAACAAATTCATCAACTCCAGGTCTCCAGGCGGAGATTCCTGTCAGTTACTGACGCGCAAGCGGCGAAGAGGAGTGATCGAAAAGAAGCGGCGCGATCGGATCAACACCTCACTTACCGAGTTAAAGCGGCTGGTGCCTGCAGCCTGTGAGAAGCAGGGAAGCGCCAAGCTGGAGAAGGCCGAGATACTGCAGCTCACTGTAGATCATTTAAAGATGTTACACGCTAAAGGTGAGTGATACTTGAATTTTCATAACAGAATTAATTCAGCAGCAACGTAGCTTCTTATCAATGAGTGCGTCCACGAAAATACTGCCACGACACATATTTATGCCGCTAAGCAGTAACGTCAACATTACTGCGTTTCGCTTTTGAAAGGTGCTGGTGAAACTACGGACACATGGGACTTCTCACTTTATATCTCAGATTGGCAGGTGATACTGCATTGTAATGGGTGAGCACTGCCACTGCGCCCATCATCCTGACACGTAAGTTGATGAGTTCCATATATCTATAAATTCACACTGCACCCCTACCCTTCAGAACTGGAACGCAGTAACGCTCTCATTACTGCTTGGCGGCAGAAATAGGCAACGTGGCAGAACTTCCCTGGACGAACACTTTCACAAGGAGTTTTACTGCAACTGATGACATCAGAACTTTAAAAAACATACACCACATTCACAACAAGTCACAAAATCGACTAAACAAAAGAACGTAAAATCCACCGTCTGTCATTCCATCAGCCGCCGCCCAGTTATACATAGTAAGTTATCAAAAATGGAGTACAAGATCAATAAGACCAATTCGGAAAATGAACTTTTCCAAATTGCTTCTGGTCTCGATAGTGAATGAATTTCATTGCTCTGATACTCCTAGTACAGGGAATACGCTAGTTTGAGACCAGATATTGGTGTAGTCGCCTTCCACGTCATTGCAAATGAAATTACTTTTTCAGACATAATTCGCGTATATTTGTTTTTTTTCCAAAAACCAACATTTCAAACTCTTTTCAGGTCTCATGATCACGGCTGTCAGATTAGAAACAAGGTAGTTAAATTCGTAATTGTTTTAACTATAGTTCAGAATAGGGAGGTTTGCATTAATATTAAACATAACTGGTTGATGGCTAATACCATCTCAGCCGTGACCATGGAACTTGAAGAGGCCCGAACGTTAGTATGTTTGAAAAAACTAACATAAACAATTTATTATTTTAATTTACATTTATAAAGACTTCCTTATGTGAGTGTTAATAAACATATTTTTATTATAATAAGATAAATTTACACGTTATCGACGTTTATTAACAGATGCACAAAAGGCTCCAGGCAAAGACATTTGCAAAAAAACTTTCTCTATTTCCCGTTATCCATTTCCGCATATTATCTTTAAAAAAATCTAAATCATTCGTTTAAAAAGCCCAGAGTCCGTTACGTTGCACAATCTAAAGAAACCTGCTCAACGACTTAACTACGCATTTCCGTTTCCTCCGAAATTAATAAAAAGATCACTAACAACTGTTTTTTAATAAAAAATACTTGCACTAAAAAAGGAAGAGTTACATTCGATGCATTGTCCTGTCTATTAAATACCCAACTGTAGTTAGGAATTACAGTTAAGCAACAGTAGATGAAAGAGTTAAGTGCTGCCACCTTATTTCTGCCGAGAAGCGTTAATGTGAGCATTGCCGTGTTCCGGTTTTAAAGAGAAAGGGTGCTGGTGAAATTACATTGACATGTGACTTCTTCTTTGTAATTTAAATCTCTAACTGGCTCTGCAACTGTTATGGACAGGCGTGTCGCTTACCACCAGGCGCACGACTTGTTCATCCCATCACTAAATTTAAAAAAAATCAAATTCTAAAATCTAACGTAAAATACAACAACGTTAAAATCCCTACGCGTTACTATGTCGAGCATCCCGTCCCATCGGTCTCGTGTCCCTATACAGATGGAATCTAAAGCGTTCCCACGAACGACGAGCGGTATGCGCCCGCGCTTCCGGGTCGACAGGTGGACCCGTGCAGGGGACACCGGGGCAGGGGAGCCAGAGATCCGAGTCGAGAGTTTTTACTTCCCATTTCTTCTATACGTTTGATTTCAATATAATGCGGGCACGACGACAAAAAACAATAGATTTAGTGTATTCGGTGGTTTAGAAAATCAATACCGGTAATATCTGAAAGTGAACAGACGCTCTAACATATACTAAAATAAAAGACCTACATGTTGAAGCCGGTGTCTCGTGTAAGGCCTGCCCCATCCTATAAGAGTGGCCGTACCTCGATCATTATCATAATCAGATAAAAATGTCCATAATGGCTGATTGACAAACATTGAACGAAATGCAGTTTTCTTTTTGTTCCTTATGTTGTGTCGTACGTGCATTTTGAACCGACTTAAAAAAGGAGGAGGTTCTCAATTGGACTGTATTTTTTTGTATGTATGTTACGCGATAACTAATTTGTGAACCGATTTCGATGATTCTTTTTTGTTGGAAATGGGGCACCTCAGTATTGTTCCCATTTAAATTTGAAGAAAATATTCCACCTCTAAGGGTGGCAAACTAGGGGATGAATTTAGTTTCGCGCACTTTCCGGTAACCGATTTCAATAATACTTGGCAAATATATGCAATTCCACGAACTCTTGAGTCGTTTCTTTTCTGTACTGAGATTATAACTGTCATTTTCGCTCTGGTGTGTGTGTTTGCTGATGTTTGGACCAAGAGCACGTCGAGCTAGACAATTTAATTAAATTTTTATTGAATTGATATTCAATAATTTTTTGTGAAATTACTCCACTAGTTTGTTATAATTATTAATACAAAGATCGAACACTCAGAAAAAATTCCTTCGATCCGGTCGGACAAAAAATAATTGAATATCAATTCAATAAAAATTTAATTAATACAGTGAATAGCGACATCTCTCGCTAGGACTGGTAGCTGTAAAGGTACTAACTGGGTGATAAATCTGTCATAGATTTCTCATAGATGGCGCTACGACTAAAAAGTCGTTGAAAGACCAAGTACAAAGACACGACGCAAGCACATAGAAGAATTCGTGAGGTCCGTTCCGTTCGTTCCGTAGCTTAGTTGGTATAGCGTCTGGCACGGTAGACAATTTAAATTAAATTCTACGCTATGTACGATTAGAACGATCCAAAGCGCAAATTGATCCTTTGTAGCTAATTCGTGTTACATGTCACATGGTCTAGCAGTCTACTCTCGTTCCCAGTCCGAAACAATTATGTCAAATAAGTACTACTCTAGTAAATCAAAAGACAATGTCAAGTATGAAGCTTCATTGACATCATACGTGTTTTATTTTGGTCGAGCATTATTTATTTGACAGTAATTGTTTTGGACGAAGCACGGGAGTACACTCCCTGATTATGAATATTTAAATTCGATATATATTTTAATTTGTTACTCATCAATCATTAATGTTTTTAAAATTAAACAAAGTCTTCCGTCCGGATATTATTATGTGGTCTGCTGTGTGGTTTTCCCGTGTTCACAAATCACATAAATGAAATACTTATTTCGAGCAGGCATGTGGCTTTTCTAGCCCAGTGGTCGCGCAACCGCACTCGCCAGGGCATAGGCGCATCCTGTGGGTTAAAATGTCAAGGACCAGTTTGTTACAACGCGCAATAGGAAATTATATCACTCACTGTATCACAGCCGTTAATAAATTGTTCTTGCACAGTTCAATTAGGTTGTAAATTCATTTGTAACACTATCTTTATCTCGGCTTTCTAAGGATATCCCGAACTATTGAACATTGGTCCGTATTGGTATTTCTTTTAATATTCCCTAATATGAGACGCGTTTTGTAATGTTTATAACAAGAATTGAACAAAAGAATTGCATATTTGCTCTATTTATTTTGCAAAAATATTCTTCAAAACATTCCCATGTTAATCGAATTAAAAAAAACACCGTAACACCTAATAATCAAACCGCAGTGCACAATTCCACTACGGTGACCAAACACCATCAAAAATGGATCATATCGGTTACTGCCAGGTAAGAAAAAAACACCCAGTGGTGCAGGACTCGCACCTGGCGTGGACAAAAAGTGCAGGAAGCGATTATGCCTTGTCAGACGGACACCCGTGTCTTGTCGTAGATATTGAGTTTATGTGAGGGGTTTGTTTCTTTTTCGTCTAAACGTGTGCAAGATTATTGAGTATATAAGGCTATTCAAGACTAGAGTTAATTGGAATTTACTAGGCAAACATAAAAAAATAACGCTTTAAGTTTTACAAGAATTCAAGCAAAGTTGATTGTAATATGTTTAATATGCACTCACACTCACTACAATCACATTTTTTCGCTACATTACGTTAGCTGAGCACATTGATTTCTGTGCAGTCGCGTGACCGGGTATTTAGCCGATTAACTAACTCTCGCGCAACACGCGTTAACTTGGATCAGCGATCTTAGTGCGGTCTCGCGGCTACACTTCTTATGAACTTTAAGCTGTCGAAATGTCAAGTGTGTCACATAAAATAATTTAGGGACATATTTAGGAGTTCAAAAAAAGACTGATGCCCACCACCGCCTACCAGAACGTAGATATTTTATTTAAAAAGTTCTCTAGTTACGTTACACAACTTTGTTTTAAAATTATATATTCGAATTAAAAAAATAAATAATAAAACCTTGACAAAAACTTTTTATTGATCTCTATTTGATAATTTATTTAATTTACCATAAACAAAGTCCATATCAATCGGTGGCAGCATAAAATAATCTCCACCAGTACAATATTTGCTAAGGGGACTCGTGGGAACGGGAGTGCGCGAGCTGTCCCACTGTCCACCCTTCAGAGGGTGGCACTCTGCAAATATAGGAGCTTATGGCAGCTCGTAATTATACAAAACGTAGTCCTATGATAGAGCTGTATTGTGTATGTGAAATATGAGACTTAACGTAAAGTTGTAAATATAAAATTGTAGAGTGATTAACTACTAGAAAGTTCCTTGTAATTCGCAGTTTTTTTGTTGTGCGAATCGTAGAATATTGTACAGAATTTTGTTTTATATATTTTTTTATTTATTAAAATCTTATTGTACACAAAATAACACATGGCGGACTTAATGCCGTTAGGCATTCTATACCAGTCAACGGAGAGCTGAGTTGAGAATAAATACCAGGGGTGCATTACATGACAAATAAAAAGAGATATGACCTAAGTTTGTAAATAATTATGACAAATAA